AAAATCATCTATTTAATCTATTTAATATGATCAACTTCATTCTGCGATTATATTTTTTTTATCAATGCATCTACGTATTATACTTGCATTTTACTTTATCATAATTTTATGTATAAATGTATATTATGGCAAAGTGTGTGTAGTCAGAAGAATTTTTTCTTATAGATGAGTGTTTTGTAAAAATAACGTACCTATACTTTTGTAGAAAATTTATTTTAGAGAAAATAACTTGAACAAATTACAGCCGCTTATCTTCATATGACTAATTTGGCAACGTTATAAAAGACAAAAATATAGTAGAGAATGTTTAGAATGTCATAGTGATATATATACATATATATATATATATATATCTCTCAGCATTTAACGTAAATAATTTTATGACATAAAATGTCATTTGATAAAATATACTTTTCGAAAAAAGTATGAATCCATTTTTTAAAAAGTGTAGTTGCGTCTTGCAAATAAATCGATGCATCGTTCGAAAAAAAAAATAAAAATATAATATCTAATAAATAGTAAAAGATTTTTTTTCTTCTACCACTTTTGTCCATCTTGTTTTAGAAAGAACTATTATTCAACCCAGTTACTAGAATTACGTTGTATATATGAGTATAGCATTTTACACTGGTTTTATCGTACGAATATAATAGAAAATGCGTAAGCTGAAAACTTTTATGCATCCTTGATAAGATCGTAATTGCGCTCGAGAGAGTATTCGCACTCAAAGTATTTCTCGAGAGAAAAATCATTTAGAATTCCAGTCGCAATCGAGCCGAATCGAGAGAGAGAGAGAGAGAGAGAGGGAGGGAGGGAGGGAGGGGGGGAGTTAAATTAGCGGTTTGATAACTTAAAGTAGATAATAGCCAAAGAGGAGCGCGAAACTTGGTTCATGCAGCGCGTAGTATTTCGCGGTACGAACTTACAAAGCTTGCCCCTCGTCCGTAACGTTCGACAAATCTAGTGCTTTGGGGATTCGAGACGTTGCTTGCTTGAAGTTTGCCCGCTCCTCTTTCCAAATTATCGGAATTCCCATGGCGGACTCGCATATTTCACCTTTGACGCGCGATGCAAGAGAATAGCAGCGGCGTGCGTTGACGGCGCGTATGTGAAGAGAAATTTACCACTTCGTGGCGGCGAAAGCCTCGCGCATAGAGGAGTTTATCCGGTGTCACAAGGTGACAAATCCTCTTAACCGCTTTACCGTCTTGCATTGTTGCGAATCGCAAATGTATCAACATTGCGGCACAGAAAAACACGAATCGAGCGCGACCCTAGTGCTCGATCTCTCCTTCTTGATGATTACTGCAAATATAACAATATATTAAAATTTCACCAAATGAGAATGAGGAGACGTTGTTCGTAATACATATGAAAAAAAAACTTGTAATTAGCAAGAACTAATTGTTTTGCTAATAAATCAATATGCACTGAAAAAATTGATTGAATTAATTTGTATTGAATTAATATATGTAACCAGATTGTTTGACGATATCAAATATGGACGATCTATAATTTTGGTTAAAATAATCAGACAAATTTAATTACACACACACACATATGTATATTAGTGACCATAATCAGACACATTTGTTTGCATGAATTTTAACGAAAAAAACTTTTAGTTAAAATATGTACTAGATTATTTTATTTTGATAACCAGAAATTCTGTTTAGTTTTATCAATACTTTGGCTATATACATATGTCACGTTAATCCAACCAAGCTCTTTTTTCCCTTGTAGTCATAATATAATCAGATACTTGAATATTATTATACTACACATGTTACTCAATCAAACTTTAACTGATTACTTAAATATTCTGATTGCGTACCAAAATTTTTGATTACAATAACTTGAAATTCTATCTTATACTTTCACCAAGATTTGTTTAAAACATGTGTTGTTAATTATAATAAATAATTATTTTTCCGTGGAGTAGCTATTTATTCTGGCAATGGCAATTTTGTGTCGAGCGATATAATTACGCCACGGTAACAAGTTTCCTAAGCGTGTATATCAATTCTATCATAATCAAAGGTTCGTCGCCTATGTCGTGTCCCTGACTGGATATGCGGCACCGTAAATTCGTCGCATCGTCCTATTCGCAACGTTCCTTTGAGAGGGTCTGACCCATCAACGATATTTCGCTTGGCCGCCACTTTCACTTTCTGCCATAGCGACGTGCTCAGATACAGATCGCGGTCTGTTGACATCTATTGATCATGACATGAATAATGAATGGATACACCCGCCTGAATAATGCATGCATCAACGTCGAACAACATCCACTCGATAGCGGTGTATAACTAGTAGGGTGTACTATTGGGAACGTTGATGAACAGAGGCCACTCGCTATTGGCCAGCACCATGATATCGCTACGTGACTACACTCGCTACTGCAAGTCGATATATTTTCTTTTACGTCTAGCGCAGCTGAAGCTAAAATCATTTTCGTTCTTGTTCTCGATAGCGATGAACAATTTGATTTCCATTGTCGAAATGTCGTTTCAATCTTTTGACCGCTAAATTTTTGGATAACAAATATTTATAGTAGTATTATATACATGAAATTGGATTTTATATAAATTCTCTGAAACATTCAGCTTTGTCATCTTTATTGAGCAGTATATATAGTATATGTATGTAAAAAGAATAGAGCTAGTAGTTGGTATAATAATACATTAGAGACATTAGAGATATTATTACTTAAAAATAATAATTATTTTATTTAATTGAAAAATTTAAGTATTGGATATATTTTTATTATATTCAAAATATTATTTGTCATATTATTATATTTATTATTCTATTTATTACATTTATTAGATTGTAAGTCATAAATAACATATAATAGATATTATAATACATAATTATATGATAGATAATTTTGAAATAAATTTATTATGTGAACTGCACTGTTAAATTTATAATGTCAAAAATTATACACAATTTGAGTTATTTTTAATCATCTGTAAATCATCACTGTTTCTATCTAGTGTATCCTTAATTTAACTAAAATAATGGAGTTATACAATAGAGTTTAACTTAAGAAAGTGATTAAATTTGATTCAAATATAGTTTATTATTTACTGAATGTATACGTTAATTTTGCTTTAGGACTAACCACAAGAATGGATCGATTTACATTTTGACACATCTACAAGTTTAAACGTAACAAAATATTATTTAATTGAAGACATTGAATTACCTTTTCGTGATTGTTATGATGACAAATCAACGATCGTTTAATCGCAAAAATAAAATATGTTATAAACGTGCCCCCCTTTCCTTGTAAAGTTTTGTCTCTTCGTAGCTCTGAAGAACTTCAATTTAATAGTTCTATAAGAAATACGGAGAACTTTGGTTGTCAGCTCGTCTTCTGCGGAGTCTACAGCTTCGTGAGGATTTTACACGGCTAGTAAAAGTAAAATTGGAATCCTGTTCCTTGCGTAGAGTATTTATTTCTTCTTGATACTAAGTATCAAATATTCTTGATACTCTCCTAGTAACTTGCATACTTGCATTGCATATTAATTAAATAGAGTTCTGAAATTAAGCAAGATCCATCAAACAAAATTATTTAATTATCTAGAATATCTTTTTTACAAATAATAAAAACAGGCGATAAAAACAGGCTGTGTACTTAATGTTGCGTCTTGACAAGTTTGATTTATTCTTTAATGTGAAAAGGGTTGAAAAATGTTAATTTAGAATATTGCATATATTTAATATATATGTATTTCTATTTTATTTTAGTATTATTTCCAATTTTATTTTTGGAAATTATAAAACAATACTTCACGTATATATTTATTTTTTGAAAAATTAAATTTCCTCCATGATACCCGTTAACATGCACGAAAGAACATAACAGAAGCTCGTCTAAAGAAGTGTAAAGGCTAACGTTGCAGCTCTAACAAAGGTTCAAAAGAATAGAGTATGTGCTTTAGCCGTTAGACGAGAGAGAACGTTAATGAAAGAGCCACCGTAGAATTGCCTCGTGGCATGCAAACAAGTTGAGCTGTCGGTCACCCTCAACTACCCAGCTTTCTACAGAGGGATTGCGGGACTCGCGGCTGCAGGATGAGAAGGCGAGTCCCGGGAAGAGAGCTCTTAGTTGCGTTAGGTTAGGTAGTTGCAGCTATTTGCGGCTCATCGGAACCATAATTAGTTTTCCCCGTGAAGTCTCGGTCGACCAAGCTCGATAGGCAAGTTTTAGGTGAGGGCGACCGAGCGTGCGGAACGGCGCTTGCTTGCCGGATGGAAAGTGTCTTTCGCAACGTTCTTGTCGCGGCTTTATCGAATTCCAAGGCCGCGCTAACTCGATCAAGCCTCAGTCTTCAGAATATTTACTTCCCGGTGGGGCGTGGAAGCGTGATAAAGGCGGACTAATCCCGTTTGTTGTTTCACCGTTACGGGAGGCTGGAAAATTTATTCGCCCTTTGAATTCGGGCGGATGCAACGTGTCCTCTCTCTCTCTCTCTCTCTCTCTCTCTAGGATTGCTCGATCGAGGATTTAACAATACATTCCGTTTATTAAAAACGCATATCTGCGCTTTTTGTGCGTCGAGATTCAATTTTAAAAAAACATTCATATTGCAAAAAGAGCATAAACTCTATGATCGTGGGTTTTATTACATTAACTATTTAATTACATAACTCGATATACAAGTACATTATATCCTAATTAATCTCCCTGTCCGTTCAGTTAATCAATCGTGGCCGAGCGTAAAACAGTTACAACAGTACGTGGTAAATACCGATAATAGTTGAACTCGTGATTGAAGCGTGGTTTCTTGTCGAGAAGTCGCGCGACGGTTTATCCGCAGGAATACCAGGACGCGCTGAAAAATGTCGATAATAACAAAAGCGCGATAAGGCGACACGCTATAAAAGGAGCGAGAGAAAACTGACGAAAAATGAAATCACAGTAACTTTCTTTAACGGCGGCCACGTCAGAGAGGCTGACGCTATTATATATCTCGTCGTTGTTACAGGCTCCGTGAACGAGGCTGGTGTTTTTGCGCTACGAGGTAGGCAAGAGGGTAGCCGACGTTCCAGGCGAACTACCACCAGCACGACGAGTACAACGACGACGTCCGACTCGACGTTGATACCTCTACCTGACGAAGTAGTACAACCCGCGGCCCTTTTGGCCCCCGAAGAGGAGTCATGGTCTACCAGTTCTTCCACCACGACCAACATTGCTCTATCTTCAGACATGGCCGACACGTCGTCCAACCCTCCACTGGAACTTGTAGTGAAGCCTCATAGTAAAGTCGTCTTACCCTGTGAACTGGAAGGAAATTACTCGAGATTATTACTGCCAGGAGCAAGGTAACACACGTATTCCGATTCAATCTGTCGTGATCATAAACTGTTAAAATAACATTTCAGTTAAAATTGAAATGTATGTAAAAAATATTTTAAATAAAATTTGTCTAACAAAGTGAAAAAATATCATGTTCAAATGTCAAACAAATCGCATAACGTACACGTAATCGATAATCTCCATTTTTTATTTTGTAATATCTAAAGTAAGCTTTTCACCGCGTATGTAATAATATTCCTTCATCATATTAATGCATATTAATATCCGGTTTCACTTTATAATAACGGTGACTTTCGCCTTGAATACATTATGGTGAAATTATTCCCTTTACGGAAACAAAGTCGCCCTGTGATAGTAATGCGGGGATACGGCTGAAGTGTCTTTGTCGCCTGAAGATCGGGCGTAACGAAGTTTGTTAGGTGAACTAATAATGCGGACGCTGCACCCCTTGTCAGAAGTTACAGAATACGACCGGCGACGTGGCTACACGAAGGTAGTCCGGTGGATATGATCACGATAGACACGAGAACGGAAATGAGCGGAACCGGGCACCGGTACATCGGCGACTCGACAACCGCAGCACTGCACATAGACAACGTCAGATTAGAGGACGACGGTGTATGGGGCTGCACGCTGGAGGACGACCGAGGGAAGATTCTCTTCGGCAAACCGGTGAAGTTGGTCGTGCTCGGTAAGTATCTCACGATATACTTTCCAATATTTAAATGTGTATGTGTGTGTGAAGGCGAATTTTTCATTGAAAAATTAAGTCACGAGTCAAAACTGCAAAGTATGTTGGAACATTTAATGTCGTTCATTTTTCATGCTGTATTCGTTTACACGTAAAGGACTGTTTTGTTGAAATATTCAAAAAAATTTAAATATATTTATTAAAATTAAAAAATAAAATTTATGAACTGTTAAAATAATTATGTAGGATACTCAAACTATGTATTGGCGTATTAAAACTTTCTGGCATTGCTCACTATGCTTCAGATTCTTACATAATTAAGTATCTTGATATAATCTAACAAAATTATTTTCACATCTTTAGTAAAATCTCTGTTTAGTAAAATTCTTCTCTCCACGTCCATGTTTTAATAATTAGTATTGTGCATAAAATATGATTGTTATGCTTATTGATTAATCGACTACTGCGTGAATAATTTGTTAATATATAACTCATGAATTATAATCGTGTTACATACGACTGAAGAAAATATCTCAGATGACGCAGACGCGCATATGTTAAATATTTTATACTTTTTAAAGTCATCAAAGATTTACACGTGAAACAGTTTGAAATATAAATTTATATATTTTAATGAGTGATTCTCGATATTGATATATTAATTTTTATAATTTGTGCGATCGATGTTATTCGAATATTTTTAACGATTGCATTAAATGAAACGATTATATCATGTATAAATCAAACTAATATTCTCTTTTTTTTATATAATATGATATGAAGAATTTTTTTACCTGAGCTTTAGAAAAAAAAATGGTAAATTTTTTGGATACAACACATTTTTATGTGCGCTCTGAAAAAGTGAGATGTATATGAATTTTTCCGAAAACGTGATCCCATCTTGTGCATAAAGCCTTTCAATTTCGCGTGAATGATTAAATTCTCGCAAAATTCCGACTGATGAAGTTTTTTTTAGGAATGTGCCGGATACATTTAGGAGCGATAACATACGAGAGAAAAATTTTTCCGCTGCGTATAATTGAGAAGGCAAAGTTTTAATGTTTCCAACATTGTTCACCTTTACATTTCACATAATTTTTTTTCTAAAAACCACTGTCACATTCGAATAATCAGAGACATTTATTTAATTGTAAAAATGTTAGAATTATTTTAACAAAAGAATAAAAACAAAATAGTAAGTTTTATTGTTTAATGAAATATACGTTAATCTGAAGACAATTTTTTCTAAAATAGAAATAAATTAGAAATATCCAATTTTTCTATAAAAAAAAAAAATTATTTTTTTCCTTTTAATGTTTATGCTTTGTTGTGGTCTTTCTAGCAATATTTGCTTTATCTATCTTATAACTTAGTTTTGATTAAAACTTGATTAAAAATTTTTATACAACATGGATATGTATATTGCGCGACCTGCTACGATAAGAAACTTCTTGGTATTTCTTACTCTTGTTGCACCCAGATTTAAGCAAGTGGGTATCGTATACTGGGTAAAAGTGTTGCCGTCCTTAAGAATTTCCGGCAAGTGGGTCGGATCTCCTGAAATCGGGGGAAGAGACGTTTCAAGCCTGAGCCGCGCTGGTAATGGCAGAATTTATGCATATTAATTCGCACCACTTGGACCCAGCGGTCGCATCGCTACGACATGAATATGCATTTGCCCTAAAAGTTCGTCCTAAAGCATTTTATCTTCCATTTTTTTTTTTTCTTTTGCCTTCGCTAGATGGACGCGCCATTCGTTCTGCCGGCTGCACTTGTCTCTGCGGCAAGGTGTATACAAATTTACGTGAAACAATCGCGCCATCATCGGTTGACGCGCGCGTGACGCTCTTCGAAAGCTCACCGACTCCCCTGACTGAATAAAGCTTGCTTCGTGGTTTTGCTCTTCGCTCTCTGCTCCATTTTTAATATCCAACCGCTAAACAGAACGAGGCGCATAGCGAGCTTTTATCTCTCGTGGCACGGTATGTTCGCTCGGGGCGTGACGCGCGTGTAGTTGTACATTGCACTCTCGTCGCATCATGCATTTTTGTGCCTCCTCTGTGCACTATTTGATTATTTGTGGTTCACAGCGAAGTTTATTTTTTGGTTCCTGCGCGAGTGTTTTGCACTGACAACGGCAACCAGCGGTATACTCACGACTCTGCTTAACATGGCACTTTTGAACGTTAACATAGACGTAGCTATATTACTTGTACCATATATAGAAAGAGTTTTGTAATTTTAATATGATGTTTTTATGAAGTGTTTTCAAACAAATAGACGAACATGATTTTTTAGTATTAATTTCTTGCGACTCTCATAAATATAAATTTGTATGAGAAAAGATGAAAATGAGAGAGAAGTAGAAGTCTTTTGATAAATGCAATACTTGATATTAATAAACGACTATAAACGTTACCTTATTTGTTATTGGAGAAGTTTGATTCATATATGTATAACTGGCTTATAAATAAACGCTCGTGTAATATCGGGAAATTGATTCAGACTGCTGCAGAATAAATTCTGGAAACGTGGCCAATTACTTTCCTTCGCTTCCCGGTACTTCGACTTATTTCGCGTATCTCAATGAACTGCACCGACTTCATAAATCTCTGGATTTATATTTTCCGTATTGTGCCTTTCGCAAACCGGTTCGAGTAAATACGAAAGAAGAGCGCTAAAAGTTGCCTGCCGCATGAAATATGGCACCGAAATCCGCGCGGCGCACGATAAGACGTTGAGTACACTTAACGTCTATCCTGGCGAAGTCGAGGAAAACAAATCAACCGCGGGTGTTCCAACCCGGAAGCGCGCGTCCAGCACGCCAATGCGGCCAAAGTAAGCTTTCATTGAAATGCAATGGCTTGTATTTCTTTCATACTTTGTTTTGTACATTATACTTTGCCATACACGTCGTTCTATGAATCGCAGAATCGAGATGAAAGATATACCGTCGCGATTGTGTACCCTACAGTTACACTAACAATCGAAAATAACGCAACAAACGTTAGATTTGATACGATAAAAATAATTTAATTATAAATGAAATTGTTCGTCACAACTATCAGTTTGCATTTGTGGAGGATTAATAATATAATTATTGTTTATTTATATTTTGGAAAAATTGAAGAGATAAATTGATAAATAAAAGTATAACAACAAAATTGAATAACGAATATATATAATAATTAACGACATATAATTTAATTAACAATGTATTAATTTTGCTTATTATGCATATTAATTGTGCTTATTTCATTCTAACAACATCAAGATTATCATGTCGGATATTGTTTTGGCTTTTAGGAGCTCTATCGATTATCAGAAAATTTGGGTCAATTTACGATAAATTTAATGGTGGTTGCAACGTCGAACCGATGTGACACCTTTTGACAATAATTCCATAATATACGTGGTATACGTTGATGATTATCATGTTTCTCCGGCTATCAAACTTAGCTTTAGTTATGTAATGCATACCGCATGTCACTAATAGCTATAACATAAAGCTGAAAATGAGAAAATGTATAAACTCAATTTGTAACATAGAAATTTTAATAAATAATCTCGATATTTTGGTGCACATAATATTCAATTATAAATACATGGCATAATTTGTTTGTATCAGTTTAAACTGCACATTTCTTTGGGATTAATATTGTCAAATGCATGTTGACAGAGTCATTATAATTTTGCAATTTATTACTGCTAATTTAAAATGCACAGCATCAGATCGACGAAGTTCGTTAATCAAAATGCATGACGATAAAAGGGATTACGGTGAACTAACAAATATGAAATGCAGATAAACAGCAATAATTGATAAATATGATGTTAACGGAAATAAGTTATAAAAGATTATTTAATAGAATTATAGAGGCAGATTAAATAGAAAACTGAGTTAATAAATTTTTTTTATTGCGCTTGTTAAAAGAGAGTTATATCAATACAAATTTTTAAATACATTATTTTTAATAGTATCTCGCAAGTAATCTCAATACTGTTTTACATCTGCTACTTCGAAAATCTAGATGCATTTTCTCGAATCGGTTCGACAAAATGCATCTAGAGGGATTAGAGTACGGACAAGTTTTTATTTTAATGACAACTTCATAATGTATGCTCTCGAAAATGTATGCTCATTCTCATTTTTCATCGATCATTGGAATTTCAGTCGTTTTATATACCTCAGGCAAATAGTAAGGGAGAGGGTACAGGAGTAACGTCCGTCTGCGACTGATAGGGACAGATTTGCCTAGCGTTACCCGGGTGCTCGACGCCGAATCCGCGAGCGAGAAAAAGTTGAGAATAATGCACGTTTTATGCGGTTGCCAGGTTCCCCGTATTTTATTCGACAAATAGACAGGGATGTTAAGGCGTTCATTCTTAACCCGTGCATTGGGCACAGACTGCGCTCAAGATTCATCTTCGAACCATCCACACACGTACACTTTTGCACAATCTTCCCTGCGCCTCTTCAAAGCACCTTTCATATTCTCTTCTGCTGCGTTTTTTCGTATTAAATTGAAAATCCGGATTATAACGAACGTTTCTTTCATTTGCTGTACTATTTTCTTATTTAAATACTGATTATTTTTTGTATCTTATTCCCTTCGATCTCTCGTTAACTTCCTTTGTATACGATTCTTATATTCTCTCTATTTTTCAAACATTTACATACACACACATACATACATATACATGTATTATATATATTTTTCGTAAAATAACTTTTGTTTATATCTTTATCTATTTTGGCATCAAAGTTGAATTTTCTCGCACATTGAGGTAATAAATATAGATTTCTCTACGTCTTCCACTTTCTATTTTCTTCGTTGCTTCCTTTGTATTTTTCCTTTTTTTCTCTTAAAGGAAATTCAATTTGCTGCCATCCTTTCTTGTTTGCGCGTGTTGTGGAAAGGATCTGACATCCACATTTAGCAGCTTACCGGCACTTGCAATCGTTATCACTCGATCCTTTCGATTTTTCATTTAACCCT